TCTTTTCACAGTATGCGTGAAATTGAGACGAAGTAAATGTGGTTCCACGATCGCTGACGATTATCGTAGGCAACCCGAAATAACTGGAGATATCGTTGAGAGCGTTTATAACAGGAGCTGTCTTAGTGTTACGTACAGCTTTAACGATTAGAAATTTTGAAAAGGCGTCAGAGACTGCTAAAACATAGCAGTTTCCTCTCTTACTTTTGATGAACGGCCCAAGATGATCGATGTGGATTAGACGGAATGGGATTGGTTCCATATTATCGTAGTGCATTTGCCCTTCAGGTTTTCCCCCACGTGATTTATTGTAACAGCACTCTACGCATGCGGAAATATATTCTCTAACATACTTGCGCATTTTGGGAAACCAGAAATTTTGCTTGATGCGTTCTATCGTCTTATCGGTTGCAAAATGTCCCATATCATCATGGCATGCCTGCACTACTCTCCATCGTACTGCTTTAGGTACGACGAATTTCAGACCATGGTCGGTACGGCGATAAAGTCGGTAATTCTGAAGTTGGTAATCGTTTTTCAATTGCGTTGCCTGGATGGCTGATTTATCACCCTTTAAAATGTCGATAATTTCTACGAGCGACTTGTCTTGAAGCTGCATCGTGAACAGCCAGTCGTCTTTACTTGCTGTTACTTTCATTACAAACCCAGCCGGTTCGACCTCATTAGGTGGCTCGTCTGGTGATCGACTTAACGCGTCGACATGAGCGAGACGATTTCCTTGGCGATGGATTGTTTCAAAGTCATACTCAAGTAGCTTCATCCACCAGCGTGCAATTTTCGGTTTTAGTTCTTTATTCGCTTTCACTGTAGCAATTGCAGAACAATCTGTCACGACACGAAAATGTTTTCCAAGCAGATAGATTCTAAAACGATCTAATGTTTCGACAATAGCAAGAGTCTCGAGCTCATAGCTATGGTACTTACTTTCGGCTTCAGTACAGTGACGACTATAATAGAATACCGGCTGCCAACGTTTTCCGTCTGTAGACTGCATGAGGACGCCTGCGAGACCTACACTACTGGCATCAGTATGTACTTCGTGCTCGGCTACGCTATCATATAAAACAAGTACCGGACCGCTACTAAGTATTTGGATTAATTTTTGAAAAGCTAGCTGCTGCTCCGCTCCCCAAGTAAAAGTATGTTCTGACGAGCGAAGAAGCTTCGTAATTGGTTTTGTGATTAATGAATAATCTTGAACGAATTTTCTAAAAAATCCCGTCAATCCTAAAAATCGACGGACTTCGGTTATATTTGTAGGTATTTTAAAGTTTTTGATCGCTGTTACCTTTAGAAGGCTTGGCATTATTCCGTTTTTGTTTATAACGTGACCTAAGTACACTAGCTCTGTAGATAGGAATTTACACTTAGAAAAACGTAAGGTAAGGTTGTTTTCTTTTAACAAACGTAGAATTTTTTGTAGTCGGTTTAACCCTTCATCAATTGATTGACTTGGTATAATGACATCGTCAAGGTATACAAGAATTTCTCCTTTAGTCATTTGTGAAGCAATTTGGTTCATAGTAGTTTGAAATACAGCCGGGGCATTTACTAACCCAAATGGCATTCGATTATATTCGTAATGTGCATCAGTAGTTACAAAAGCGGTGTATTGCTTAGAAGATTCTTCAATTTCTATCTGGTGGTATCCCATTCGTAGATCTAACGTCGTGAAGTAGTTATTTCCGGCCAGCTGAGCAAATTGTTCTTCCATATTTGGCATTGGATACGGGTTTTTCTTCGTGATTTTGTTTAAACATCTATAGTCGACACAAAGTCGATGTTCTCCATTTTTTTTCTCAACTAGCACGATTGGAGATGCGAATGGCGAATCGGATGGTCGTATAATATCGTTCTCTTGTAATTCTGCGATAATATTGGATACAATTTCACGTTTTACAAACGGTAATCGATATGGTTTCATACAAACGGGGGTATCAGTAGTGAGTTGTATTTTCATTTTGTTAGTCACACACTTACCTATTTCAGCCAAAGATTCGGCGAATACGGAACTATATTCTGATAAAAGACTTTTTAATTTTTCGGTTTGAAATTTGTTCATGTCAGCAGTAACTTGTGAATTTTCTATTTGACATCGAGTGCCTTCTATAATAACACGGTTTCCTTCATGGCACAATATGTCTCGACCCAGAAGTATGTCTTCCGGAATAAGATCATCTTCAACAATCAGCATATCCACACTGAATTTATTTAGGTCCACTTCAACGATCGCATGTATTTTAGAAATACATTCATATTTACCACCTGCAAAGCCTGTAAGAGATACAGAGCAGTTCGTGTGGTTTTCAAAGTTTTTAGCAAAAGATTCGCGTACGAGTGTGTGAACACTACCTAAGTCTATAAATGATTTTGCATCGAAATTATTTACTTTAATTTGTTTTATTACATTGTCTTTATTTTTATTAGAAGATTGTTCACTAATTTTATTAATTGTCGGATTAGATTTGAATATTTTTTTATCGGGACAGTTGTCAGTTTTATGTGTGGTGCGATTGCAATTGGCACAGCGTTCTTTTCGTTGTGGTTCTGGACATTTAGACGAGTAATGGCCAACCTTTGAGCAGTTAAAACATTTAACATTCTTCTCATTGTTCGTTTTGAAATTTTTTCCGTATGTTACGTTTTTGGTCTCAACGTTGCGAGCGGTATATGATGAAAATTGATTTTTCGCTTGGGTCGGAAAATTTTTAACTTCGTTGTATACGGTATAATTATTTATATCTCTAAGCAGATCGTTGTATGACACATAATCATTTGAAATTTTTTTTCTCAAGTCCGGGTCATTTATTCCCAATATTATATATCGTGCTATTGCTGATTCGGGTATTCCACCTCTAGTGCCTATAGATACCATTTTATAAAAATATTCCTGCGGAGTCACGTTACCTTGTCGTTTGGTATGCGCCATTTCAAGATGAACATCAGCAATATTTTCACTAGAAGGAAAATCAGCAGTAAACTTCGCAACAAACTGTGGCCATGTTAAGAATATTTCTTGTGCATCCACCCAGAATTTTGCATGACCATGCAATTTTTGCTGGACTGCAAACAGTAAAACTTGATCGTTCCAATTATATGCGTCACGTAAGCTTTCTATCCGCTTGATAAATTGTTTTGAGGAGCTCGACTTGTCCGATGATGGGTCGAAATTCGGCAGAAGTGTGATTACATCACGCACATTTCCAAATAGATTTTGGCATTGTAATGGGGAAACAGTCGGAATATTTTGAGACGCAATATCATGTCTTCGGTGTAGTGAATCCATATGATTCACTGTTGCCATATTGTAAGCACAATTTGTCACAGGTTGTGAGATCGAGCGCGTTGTTGATGCTTGTAAAAAGTTTTCATTTCTGCCAAAAACTGGACAATTGTTAGTCGCATTTGGCAAGGGCGGTTGTTGTATCGGAGCTGATGACTGAAATAACTGTAGTGTTGTTGGTCCAAGAGGATTAGCGTGGACATAAGAAATCGTTGGATATTGTTGCGAAATAGATGTATATGGAACACTCATAACGGCACAGTTATTACTCAACATATTATTGTTTACGCTTGTCTGCATTTCCGGGCACATTATTGGTGAATTTAAAACAGTTGAGCAGACTGGCTTCACGTTTGACGTGGTCATGTAATTACCTATTGGTGACGACATTACCGGCGGTTGAAACATTTGACTTGTTGTAATTACATTTTGGTTTTTAACCTCTTGTAGCTTTTGCATTTGTGCAAGGGATTTTTCTAACACATTAATTCTTTGTGTTAAAATATCATTCACTGTCTCGTACTCATCATCGTTTTCTATTTCTTCCAGCTGTTTGATTAAATCTTTCTTTTTTCCCTTTGTGCTTACACCAGCATCTTTACATTTTTGTCGTAACTCATTTAACGTGAATTTATAAAAATTCATTTTGTTGTAGTTCCTTGATGTTTTACCTATTATAACGTTTTATTTTTTTACTACGTCAATACGTATGCGGTTTTTGAAATCAAATATGAAAAAGATTGCTTTATATGAAACGATCGCTAATTTCATACACGTGCATCTGATTTTCAAAGTGAAATACAAAACGTATGTATCCACTAAAACGTTTTCGATTTCGTATGCCGCAAGTGCGAGTGAGATGACACTATATTTAGTTCTACGACACGTCACGAACACTTTCAAAAAGATATGTAAATTGACGCTTACTACGAACGACAGCACAAAACAATTACCCCGAGGAGTCTCAATTTTGCGTAATGTATTTTTTTTGTTTTTCAAACGTATGCAACTTTTATTTTTACACTTTTCGCAGTGCACGCGGATTTCTAATTCCACTTCTGAAGATTTCACTGGACTTTATTTAATAATTACAATTTTACAATTTTATTAAAAAAAAATATATTTCGTCACGTATCAGAACTTCACGTGTTGTCTTCTCTCGTTGTCAAATCACACACACACTATGCTCCTGTCAAAAGTGATAATGTTTTCTTTACAGGGTTGTCATTAGAGTATTTTATCAGGGTTGACATATATATGATTAATATGATATTTGTAATAATAATTATGATAATTGATTTTTATTCTAAATTTAATATTAAACTTAACATTCTCCCTCCTGTTGATTTGGGTCAAATCTGTGCCTCTACGTCAACTTCGAATTCGGATATTGATTGTTATTATCGAGTTTTGCGCGTTTTCGTGGCGCGTCTTCAGCTTGATCTGCTTGTACATCGGTGAATGATTGTGTATCTGCTAGTAACGGTGCCAATCGATGTATCGGCCGCTTCCAAATTCCGTTCTTGGTTTTAACATCTACCACATCGAACCTTGCCGTCAATTCCTGGATAGGTGTTCACTATCCGCTCTAATGGCCATTCCATAGGGGGTGTATTATCTTCTTTTATAATAACCATAGTGCATTTTTCAACATTTTCTGTTTCTGTTTTCCATTTATTGCGGTACTGAAGTTCATTTAGATATTCCTTTGACCATCTTGACCAAAAGTTTGTTGAATTTGTGCGCTTGCCTTCCAACGTGATGGCAATGAACCCGATGATACACTGGAGGTTTCTTGCATTGCTGTTAACGGTTCACCGATCAAAAAATGACCTGGCGTAAGTGCAATTAGATCATTTAGATCTGAAGATTGTGGTGTTATTGGCCTGGAATTGAGTATTGCTTCGATTTGAATCACAACGGTCTCCAGTTCTTCATATATCAAGTGTAATGTATTAACTGAGCGTTTAAGATGATACTTTGCTGATTTGACAGCTGCTTCTCATATACCACCAAAGTGTGATGCCCGTGGCGGGATGAAATGAAATGTCATTCCCTTATCAGTACAGAATCGTGCAACTTGCTTTTGAGCTTTTAGACTATATATTGAAGACTTGAGTTCGTCTAATTGTTTACAGGCTCCAACAAAGTTCGTGGCATTGTCGCAATAGATATTTTTACACCTGCCTCGCCTCGATATAAATCTTTGAAGAGCACATATAAATGCGTTGGTTGTCAAATCACTAACGATCTCGAGATGAACTGCATTGGTAGAAAAACAGCAAAATACTGCAATGTACGTCTTGCATGGTCTACTCCCGAATTGAAAAATGGTCTGGTTGGAGAAACTCTATCTTTTGGTAAGTTACCCATAATTTGTTTTAACATTTGAGGTTGTGCTCGCCTGCATAATACACAATGTTGTACAACAGCTCTGGCCATGCACTTTTCTTTGATTGGCCAGAATTTTTGCCTGGTCTGTGCCAGCAATGCTTGAGGCCCACAATGAAGATTTTCTTGATGTATGTGTTCCATAATTAGTTTTGCCACAGGGTCATTGCAAAATCATTGGGTGTTTTTGATTATACGGAATACTTGATTCTGAAATTCGTCCTCCTACTCTTATGATGTGATTTTTGTCTAGAAATGGTGCCAGTCCCTGAAGATTACTATTTGGTTTTAATGATTTACCTTTAGTTAAATGTTTGATTTCTTCGGAGAACTCGCTTAATTGAACTGCTTTGACGATGATGATTACCGCTTCATCTAAATCGTTCGGTTCCAGGTTGGTGTTACTCGGTCGGCTTCTCTGACGAATGCATTTTATAAACCGGAGTACATATAGTTTTGTATTTTAATTTTTTTTTTTACAATTAAATACATTAATTTTTTTTATTTTTGTTTATTATATTTATTTTAAGAACGTTTATTTAATACTTATAACCACTTATTACACACAGGCTTATATTTCAAGAAAAAATATCAAAAGCAAAAATTAAAGAAATTCAAAAGATAAAGACTGTCTCGTCAGTCAGAAGACGAATTCAAGAAGAAGCTACTAAAAAACCGAACATTAAAGCAAGGCTCAAAGTTTCTTAAAGCTAACCTTACATGTGCTTTACACTTATTCAGCGGTCGTGAGAGCGAGAAGCTGCGAGATCTCTCCCGCAATATCGCTGTAGAAATCACATGTAAGATCGCTTTAAAGTTCTTGGTACCCGCTTAGAAATCAATGTAAATATGTCAATATGTGACTATATGCCATAGTCCATACTAATTTGTTGTAAGAGTTTCGATGGTTAACTTTATAAATCATACTAATTAGATCATCAGGTGTTGATGCAGTCACTAATGTCACCTTGGGCCTTTCCTCCAGGTTTTCATCTATTTATAAATTTTTTTGAAAAGTGATGGCCACTTGTCTTCTGTTCCATATAAAAATATTGGTCCGTGAAACCACATATAATTTTTGCCAAGATCTTGCGGATTTACACCACGAGATAGCATATCTGCTGGATTAAGCTTTGAACTAACGTGTCGCCACTGTTCAGACAATGTGAGTTCCTGTATTTTGACTATGCGATTTGCCACAAACACTTGGTATTTAGAAGGTTCGGAATTTATCCAATAAAGCGTGATTTCGGAGTCACTCCATAGAAACATTTTGCTTTGCTCGAGATGAAGATCAGTTTTAATACGTGTAGGAAAATTTGCACCTAGTAATGTTGCGCATAACTCCAAACGTGGAATTAATTGAGTTTTTAATGGTGCGACTCTTGATTTGGAAGCCAGTAGCTGCACACCGATTGTTCCATCTGGAAATGAGGATCTTATATAAACTGCTACACCATACACTCCTTGAGAAGCATCACAAAAAACATGCAGTTGTGTTGTTTTCGGATTTTTTTTTTCGGATTGGTTGTTGACATGACGTGGAATCTGTATATGTTGAAGTTCTTTTAACTTAGATCGAAATCTGTCCCACTTGGGGTGCATTTCTTCTGGTAGTGTTTCATCCCAGTCGAGCTGAAGCTGCCATAATCGTTGAACGAACATTTTTGCTTGTACCGTCACGGGGTTGACGAGCCCTACAGGATCAAAAATTCGGGCTAACTCAGAACAGATTATTCGCTTAGTGACCTTGTTCTCTGTCTCTGTATTCACCTTGATTCGAAAATGATCCGATTTCGGCAGCCATATAATACCTAATGTTTTAACTGATGTATGTTCTTCATCTAACAGATTTAAATCCACTTCTTGATCTTCTGGTGATATGCCATGAAGCAATTGTTGGTGATTGGCTGACCACTTTCGTACTTTGTATGTTTGTATGTTGATCAGTTGATTTTTAATTTCAACTGCTTCCGTTATCGTGTTGGCGCCGCATAAACCATCGTCGACATAAAAGTCTGTTTCGAGTGCTGCTGCTCCGAGAGGATATTTAGATTTGTTGTTTATGGCCAGTGTCTGTGGACATTTTGTAGCCAGGTACGGTGCGGTCCTAGTACCATAAGTTACTGTACTAAGTTGTAACAACCGCAATTTTTCGTTAGAATGTTCGCGCCACCATATATTTTGAAATCGTCTGTCATCTGGGTGAATTTGTATCTGTCGATACATTTTTTACACATCTGTCGTGAATACGAATCGCGGCATTCTGAATCGCATTAATATGGCTGCGAGTTCACTTTGTACCACTGGCTCCTTATGCATGATTTCGTTGAGCGAGATGCGCGTAGAGGTTTTTGCAGATGCATCAAAAACTACTCTTAGCTTCGTTGTAGTGCTATCAGATTTGAGCACAATAATTTGGGGTACAATAATTGATCCTCTTGAATTTCTTGTAGATGTCCTAATTTTTCATATTCCCTCATAAAGTTGACATATTCTGCTCGTAGGTTAGGTTGTTTATTCAGTCGATGTTCCAGTTTCAGAAATCGATTTAAAGCCTATTTGTTTTGATTCACCAAGCGCAGATGCATCGTCTGTGAACGGAATTTTAACAATGAACCACCCTTCGTTATTTTGTTGAGTATTTTGAGTGAATGCTCAAAAGCAGTAGGATTCAGTTATTTTTTGTTTAATGTCATTGTCAATGCATTGCAGTCGGTCACAATTTTGAATTTTTTCCCTTGAAGATAAACTCTAAACCTTTTTAGTGCATAAACTATCGCTAAAGTTTCTAACTCATAGCTATGGTACTTCGACTCAGAATCTGTGGTCCTTTTTGAAAAATAAAATATTGGATGCCATTTATTACCTCTTTTTTTCTGTATTAAAACTGCTCCGAAACCTAAACTACTGGCATCACAATGCAATTCCGTCTCATCTCTTGGATCATACAAAGCTAGCAATGGTGCTTCTACTAATTTTTTCTTGAGCAATTCAAATGATTTAAGTTCATCATCTTTAAAACAGAATTTCTTGTCCTTTTTCGTCAGATCGTACAAGGGTTTCGCTATTACAGAGAAATCCTTGATGAAACGCCGAAAATATGAGCAGAGCCCTAAGAAACTTTGTACAGACTGAACTTTGTTGGGAATCGGAAAATCTCTAATTGCATCCAACCCTTTTTCGTTCGCTCTTAAACCGTCTTTACTAATTGAATATCCTAGATACTGAACTCTTTCTTGTAAAAATTCACACTTTCTCTAACATTTTCCGTAGCTATCATTATGTCGTTCAAATAAATTATTACTTTTTCTTCGACCACCATATCAGAAAATATTTTATTTATGAATTTTTGAAAGACAGACGGCGCATTTTTTAATCCGAATGGCATTCTTAAAAACTCATATTGACCCATAGGAGTAATAAACGACGTATACTTAATTGACTCTTCGTTCATATAAACAAGGAAAAACCCATTCTTCAAATCTAACTTTGTAAACAATTTTTTATTTGCTAGCCTGTCTAACAAATCGTCAATTAAAGGAATTGGGTAATTAAGTTTTGAAGTTATTTTATTTAAACGTCTGTAATCTACGCTCATTCGGATTTCACCAGACTTTTTCCGCACAAGTACAATTGGGGAGACAAATTCTGATTCACTTGGGCGTATATACCCTTTTGCTAAGTAGTCGTCTATTGTTTTTTGCAATTTTATTTTTTCTGCATAGGACAATCTATGTGGAGGGCAACCAAATGGTTTAGGATCATCTAATAATAGCCTCATCTCACTACGAACGTTTGGTTCGTTAGGTCGCACTGAACGCAAGTAACACTTTTCGAAAAGTTCATGAAATGACATTTGATCTTTATATGAAATCTTATTTCCAAAGCACAAATTATTTTCGTCATCATTTATACCAAACCCAATTTCTAAAATTTCACGTTCAAAATTATCATAGCTATCACGCACGTCCATTAAGTCTGTAGTTATATTTTTTTTCTCTATATCTAAAATCATTTTAATATTTGCCTTATTTAAAAAACTGAGTATCTCATCGTTTCACTGTCTACCACAATCAACTCGACTTGAATTACTTTTTGCATTATTTTAACAAAACAAGAAAATTTTTCAAAATTTTTTAATTTACTTTTATTTAATATAAAATATGAAACATTTCCAATAGGTTTTAATTTGATATTATTTGGAACTAGACACCTTCTAATCAAGCTGATTGGGCTTCCTGTATCGACGAGGCTATCTAAAATAATGTAACTTGTAATAATTTTAAACAGACTAAATTTAAAATATTTTACATAATCATTATTCTTCATTTTGTTTTTGTTCTGCCAGCAGTCTCGGACTTGATGTTGTCATTGCTGCACCCAAAACATGCGCCCAACTCCCGTTTAGGTTTCACGCAATTAGCCGCGAAATGACCAAAACTGTTGCAATTAAAACACCTCAGCCTGTGTTCATTTTTTTCTGCTGCAACGCTACGCACTGTACTGGTTGCAGGTTTTCTCAATTCTACACCTGCTAGTGCTTCGAGTAATTCGTCTTTACTTTTAAAACGCTGCATTTTTGGATATACTCGTATTTGCGCGTCTGGAATTCCATCCACCACATAGTCAATCAACTCGTCATCGTCCATGGAAATTTTCTTTGCAAGCATAATTTTATCGTTGAAATATTCACAAAATTCTTCATTATAGTGCCATTTACGCAACTCGAACTTTTTGCGAAGTTTCAATTTATTTTCCCGCACTCCGAACATTATTGATAGTTGTTTCAGCAACTCGTCGACACTCTCAGTCATCCAATTTTTAAGTGAGTGCAGCCACAATTGCGCTCGACCTTTTAATTTCATTGCAATCACCGCACGAGTTTTATTTTCGCTGAGATTGTATGCTTTCTTTATACTTAATAATTGTTTAACCCACATACTAGCATCAGAATCACCATCAAAGTCATTTAAAATTTCTTTAATAATATTTAACGAAATTTCATCTTCTTCTTGCTGACGTAACGAGTCAACATTTTTTTGAATTCTTAACAATTCATTTTCCCTGAGCAGTAACTCTTTTTCACGTGCAAGCAACGCACACTCTCTCTTAAGAAACTCGGTTTCGTCAATATGCTTCAATGTATGTGCATTAACACCTCTTACATCACTGAACGCATGATTGTCGTCCCTTATCTGCATTTGTGCAGTGCCGCTGTAGCTTTTTATTGGTGCCTTTTTATCACCCTGAACTACATTTTGGTCGATCGCTTTGTCTACATTAACACCGCCGATGACTGTCTTTCCATCAGACCGACGCAGTTCTGCCACGGACCCTTGATCACTTTCACCACCATCATCTCCAACAATTTCAACATACACTTCTTTTCGACATTGCTCAAAATTTGGCGAGCTTTTTAACCGAGCTACCAACGTGGCTTTGTCGCCATGTGCAGACAAACCAATTGTCTTACACATGTTTTTTAATTTTGACACAGTCTTTTTCGCTGCGTCACTCATTTTTAAAGTTTCTTTTTTTTTAAAAGTTAGTATCTTTAATAAGTTAGAGATAATAATTACATCAATATTAAATATATTTTATATTTTTGAAATAAATTCAAACATTCAAATTCTTATATAATTTAAAAAAAAAAAACGTGCCGAATCCCACTTCTGAAATTGTAGGGAGTAATTACAAACTTCTTTGCGTTGTTTATCACCATTTATTACTAACTTGTTCAACTTCTTTGTACTTGCTTGCAGCTATATTTGCTGCTTACAAAATAGCAAATACAAATACACTCTCTTAAATCTATTTACAACCTCTTAAGTCTAATATCTCTTAAATCTAATTACAATTAATACTTATATAAATCTAATTATAATAATACTTATATTACTACAGCATTTTTTTCGACATTTGTAAGTTGCCGATCATTATTAGTAACTTTATTAGTAACTTCATCTAATTGCCAAAACTTTGTGAGTAAGTTATCTAATCCTTGCTCACTTTCAGTGGCAATTGTACATGCCATTGTACCCTGATCACATCTACTGAAGATGCCGCTGCATACCCAACCGAAGACGGTTTTCTGCAATACTGGCAAGTTGTTTGTCATACGAATCTGACCTACTGATAATAGCGAATGGAAGTACTCGGCACCTATCAATAACTCGACATCACCGCTTACGTTAAACTCGGAATCGGCGAGTTTGATGTTTTTGGGAACGGCCACTGAGATATGTCGAACGATCTGTTAGGTTGAGGCGAAATGATTTTTGGCACCACAAATGCTTTCAACTTTATATTGAAATTAGTAGTACGTGACAAATGTTGGCAGTGACCTGATAGTTTGCCCCTCTCTTAGCTGAGCCAATACCTTCAACCCATATTGGGTTTGGATTTAGCTTTAATTGTAATTTTTTGGCCAGCCTTTCTGTTATTAAGTTGACTTGAGAGCCTGAATCTAGAATAGCCCTGCAATTGCTTCGCCAGTATGTGAAATAATATTGACCTTGGCGGTCCCAAGCAACACATATGCTTTTGTTGACAGTGCTAAAGTTAATGCAGCAGCACCGAAGTGGTCTTCTTGAATACAGCCGCGTTGATATTGTTGAATTTACGTGCGCCAGTTGGCGCCTTTGCATTGTACTGAAGATGGAGTAATGTGTTGTGCGCTTTATTGCATTTGGCGCAATGCCTGCTTCTGCAATCACTGGTTCTATGTCCGCTACGTAGACAATTGAAACACAATTTTAACCGTTGTACTGCTGAAAAACGATCAGGAACTGATAATGCCAAGAACTTGTTACACTGTTAGATTGGATGGCCATTAAGATGACATATCCTGCAAGCTAGCATATTGTTTGTAGTTGCTGTTGCTGTCACTACACTCAGAGAAAAAACGTATTAAAATCAAATGAAATGTAATGAAATCAAATATTTTTCGCAATGATTTCCTATCAAAGTCGAAAATTTTTATTTTAAATATGGACCGTAGTGGTATTTGAAACAAAATTTAAATATGAAATAATATTTAAAATAAAGCCGTGCCTATTTAAATAAAATACGAATAATATTTAGATCAAATACATTACACAAATGATTCAAATATAACTAAATATCATTTTAATGATATTCTCGATTCGTTTCAAATATTTTTGGTATTTGAAATAAATATGAAAAATTATTGAATTAAATAACAAGCCATTAAAATAAAATACGTT